CAGCCTCCCAAAGTGCTGGGATTACTGGCATGAGCCACCGCACTCAGGCCCTAAATGTTCTTTATTGGTGAGGCAGACACTAATGGATGCCTTCCACTGGGGGGTTCCCCTCCTCCATGCCATTGAACCCACAGTTTTTTCAGGCTACTCAGGTAACCACCTAAAACTCTTGATTTTCCTTGCAACTAGGGTGACAATGGAACAAAGTTCTGGCCAGTAGGAACTTTCAGGAAAGCCATTGTTCTCCTCCCCAAAAAAGAGGGAAGGGAAGTGAGGGGTAAATGGGGACCACTCTCTCAAACCTGAGCTGTGAGCCCTTCCATTCTGTCCTGGTCCCAAGCCCAGGCCTGGGCCCACAGCCATTGCTGGGGGATGCTCTGTGCTGGTCATCTCAGACTGATTAGGAAACAGTCTGCCCTGGAGCCTTAGCCATATGCAGGACGAGTAAATATCTCAACCCAAAGAGGACTTGATTGGGAAAAAGAAACACTGAGGTTGTAGAAAGGCAACCAACAAGATCCCCCAACTCATTCCTCCCACAGAGGGAGAAACAGAGGCCCGCACAGGAAGGAATCGAGGTCACTGCCTCCAGGAGCAAGGCTTCTTCCTCCCCATGACTTGTCCCTTCTGTGATATCCATTCTACAGGTGGGGAAACTGAGGATTCTCTGGCCAGAGCCTTGAGCATTTAAAAAGGGTGCCTTGGCTGGGCGTGGTGGCTCATGCCTGTAATCCCTGCACCTTAGGAGGCTGAGGTGGGCAGATCACTTGAGTCCAGGAGTTCGAGACCAACCTGGCCAACATAGTGAGACCCCCCAGCTCTACTAAAAATAGAAAAAATTAACTGGGCATGGTGGTGGGTGCCTATAATCCCAGCTACTCTGGAGGCTGAGGCAGGAGAATCATTTGCGCCTGGGAGGCAAAGGTTGCAGTGAGCAGAAATCACACCACTGCACTCCAGCCTGGGTGACAGAGCAGGATTCCATCTCCAAAATAAAGAAATATAATAATAATAAAGGGTCCATTGTCCACTTCTAACCAGAGGAGACCAAGGTCATTATTAAAGCTATCTCCACCGAGAAAAGTAGAAAAAAAAGTTGAGTGAGTGAAATTTTCAGTTCTTAGCTTCATGCATTCCACAAATATTAAAGAAGCACCACTCTGCCTGAAGCACCTGTTCTTCTGGGCCTATAGCACGTGATAAGACAGGCAAAGCCCCTGCTCTGTGAACTGGACCAATTTTACACTTGTCCTCATGCACAGGGGTTCCAGGCATGAGCTCCAGATACTAAAAAGTGCAGAAGGGCCAATGCCCATGCTCTGGGACCTAACAACAAAGTTTGCCCTTCAGCAAAACAATTTCCTTTTTTTTTTTTTTGAGACAGAGTCTTGCTCTGTCACCCAGGCTGGAGTACAGTGGTGCAATCTCGGCTCACTGCAACCCCCACATCCCTGGTTCAAGAGATTCTCCTGCCCCATCCTCCCAAGTAGCTGGGATTACAGGTGCCCACCACCACACCCAGCTAATCTTTTGTATTTTTAGTAGAGACGGGGTTTTGCCATGTTGGCCAGGCTGCTCTTGAATGCCTGACCTCTGGTGATCTGCCCTCCTCGGCCTCCCAAAGTGCTGGGATTACAGGCATGAGCCACTGCACCCAGCCTATTTTTAATTTTTATTTTTTATCAACAGCTCAGGAGCATCAAACAAGCTACAGAGCTACCAGCCTGGTCATTCCTTCCCTGGTGTAGAAGGGCTGAGGTCAGGTTTGACAGCCATCACTTCTATATTTTAGTGATGCCCAAAGAGCAAACTCCAGTTTTTCCTATCAAGCTCATATTTCCTTTGCAAATCTTTTCCAACTGATCCTGGGCCGTAGCCAGAATGAGGACACTGACATCTAATTTACATATGACCACTGGGGCATCAGTTAGTTATTCTCAGAAACAGCAAGATGCTCCACTGATCACCAGGGTGGAGAGAAAGAACAAAAACTGTGGACCTGTCTACCGGCCCAGGTAGGAGATGTCTGTTCACTGAACCTGCTGCCTTAGACTCACAGGGAGTTTGTCCCTGAAGCTAGGCAAGCATCAGGATCTCATGTGTAGTGATGACTTTATGCTCTCTACAAAACCGTAACAGACTGGCAGGTGGAAATTCCATCATTGTATGTAACAGAGGGAAATGAATAACAACAAACTTCCTAGCCATTTAAAAATATATATATATAATATATATATTCATTGATATATATAAAACAATTTTATTGAGAAATAATTCACATATAAAATTCATCCATTAAAAGTATGCAATTTAGGCCAGGCATGGTGGCTCACGCCTGTAATCCCAGCATTTTGGGACGCCAAGGTGGGTGGATTACCTGAGGTTAGGAGTTTGAGATTAGCCTGGACAACATGGTGAAATCCCACCTCTACTAAAAATACACAGTTAGCCAGGCATGGTAGCGGGCCCCTGTAATCCCAGCTACTTGGGAGGCTAAGGCAGGGAATGAAACCAGGAGGGGGAGGTTGTATTGCGCCACTGCCCTCCAGCCTGGGTAACAGAGCGGGACTCCATCTCAAAAATAAATAAATAAATAAATGAAAATAAATAAAAGCATACAATTTAATGGCTTTTAGTGTAGCCACAGAATTGTACCATTCCCATTCACTTTAGAACAATTCATCACCTCACAAAGAAACCCCAAACCCACTAGCAGTCCTTCCCCACCCGGTCTGGCAACCTCTCCTCTCCTTTCTGTCTCTGTGGATTTGCCTATTCTGAACATTTCACATACAATCACACACGGAATCATACAACATGTGGCCTTTTGTGTCTGCTTTCTTTCTGATGCTTTCAAGGTTCATCAAGTTGTAGCATGGATGGGTCCTTCATTCCTGTTTATTGCAGGATAATAAATCATGTGAATATGCCCCATTTTGTTTATTCATTCATCAGCTGAAGGCATTTCAGTTGTACCCACTGTTGGATTGTTCTGAATAACGCCGCCGTGAACACTTGTATATAAGTTTTTGTGTGGACAGATGTTTTAATTTCTCGAGTATATGCCAGGGATGGAACTGCGAGGTCATTTGATAATTCTGTGTTTAACTTTCTGAGGAACCACTACTAGGCCGTTTCTAAAGCAGCTGCAAGACTACATTTCCCGCAGCAGCAGTGCCTGAGGCATCCAGCTTCTCTACACTGTTGCTAACAATTGTTCCTATCAGTCTCTAACCACCCCATGGGTGTGAAGTGGCATCTCATTGATTTTCACTTCCCTGATGACTAAGAATGTTGACCAGCTCTTCATATGCTTGTTGGCCATTTGTAAGTCGTCTTCTAAGAAATGTCTATTCAGATCCTTTGCCCATTTTAACATGGGATGGTTTGTCTTTTTATGATTGAGTGATGGTTCTTTATATAGTCTATAGACAAGCCCTGTATCAGATACATGATTTGCAAATATTTCTCCCATTCCGTGGGTTGTCTTTTCACTTTCTTGATGATGTTGTTTGTAGCACAAAAATTTTTAAATTGGATTGAGTCCAACATATCTATTTTTTCAGTCATGTGTACATTTGATGTCTGCGAAGGCCCTGCCTAACCCAGAGTCACAAAGATTTGTTCCTAGGTTTTCTTCAAAGAGTTGTGTAGTTGTAGCTCCTACATGTAGGTCTGTGGTCCGTTGCGAGTTAACCTTTCTGCATGGTGTGAGGATGGAGTCTAGTTTCATTCTTTTGCATATGGATATTCTAGCCACTCAAAAACGTATCATTTCGTCTCTGAGCAGCTCTGTGGGAGAGGCTGTCTCTAGGACGCTGGCTCAGCAGGTAAGAATTGTCTGGGATGCTTGTTTAAAAACTAAGACTCGGGCCAGGCGTGGTGGCTCATGCCTGTAATCCCAGCACTTTGGAAGGTCGAGGCAGGCGGATCATGAGTTCAGGAGTTTAAGACCAGTCTGGCCAATATAGTGAAACCCCGTCTCTTTTGTATTTTAGTAAAATACAAAAAATTAGCCTGGTATGATGGTGCACGCTTGTAATCCCAGATGCTCGTGAGGCTCCGACAGGAGAATTGTGTGAACCCAGGAGGCTGAGGTTGCAGTGAGCTGAGATCACGCCATTGCACTCCAGCCTGGGCGACAGTGTGACACTCTGTCTCCAAAAAAAAAAAAAGCCAGCCGGGAATGGTGGCTCATGCCTGTAATCCCAGCACTTTGGGAGGCCAAGCCAGGCAGATCACCTGAGGTCAGGAGTTCGAGACCAGCCTGGCCAACATGATGAAACCCCGTCTCTACAAAAATTTTTTTAAAATTAGCCAGGCATGATGGTGGGTGCCTGTAATCCCAGCTATTCAGGAGGCTGAGGCGGGAGAATTGCTTGAACCTGGAAGGTGGAGGTTGCAGTGAGCCGAGATTGTGCCATTGCACTCCAGGCTGGGTGATAGAGTAGGACTCTGTCTCAAAGATAGATAGATAGATAGATAGATAGATAGATAGATAGATAGATAGATAGATAAATACTCTTGGGCTTCATCCCTAGAGATTGTGATTTAACAAGTTCAGGGCAGGGGCTGGAAATCTGTTTTTGCAGCAAACATTCCAGCATTGATCAAGTGTCTGTGGACCTGAACTTTGAGGATCATTGCCTTTTGTGGAGGATGCTTATAGTTAGAACATGAAAATTCAAATATGGCCAGGCACGGTGGCTCACGCCTGTAACCCCAGTACTTGGGAAGCCAAGGCAGAAGGATCACTTGAGGCCAGAAGAGTTCAAGACCAGCCTGGCAAAATCCTGTCTCTGTAAAAAATAAATTAAAAAATTAGCCAAACGTGGTGGCATGTGCCTGTAGTTCCAGCTACTCATAAGGCTGAGGCAGAGAATTGCTTGAACCCAGGAGGCAGAGGTTGCAGTGAGCTGAGATTGCACGACTGTATTCCAGCCTGACCAGCATATCAAGACTCTGTCAAGAAAGAAAGGAAGGTGGGGGAGGGAGGGAGGAAGGAACGAAGCAAAGAAGGAAGGAAGGAAGGTGTGAAGGAGGGAAGGAAGGAAGGAAGGAGGGAGGCAGGGAGGGAAAGAAGGAAGGAGGGAAGGAAGGAAGGAAGGAGGGAAAAGAAGGAAGGAAAATTCAAACGTAACTAGAGATTTCCAATTCTGACAACCTACAAATTAGAGATCCTGATGATGCCTCTTAAAACCCTTAAAAATTCTGAATGAAATATGGTGACATGGCCTGGGGGTGGTAACTATAACTGAGCTAGCAGGAAATATACAGGGCCCAAAAGGACATGAAAGTAGGAATCCAGAGAGATGGGTGAGGGCTGAAGCCAGAGCTGCCGTGGAAGTGCGTGTTGAGCCTGGTGACCCAGATCTTTAGTTAAAATGGTCCACACAGGACGCTAGCGGCGAAGTGCCGAGTCCTCACAGGGAAGAGAGAGAGACTGGGAGGAAAGATTTGCAATGCCTTTAACCAAACAAGATTTGTGTCCAGAATATGTGCACAACTCCTAAATATTGCCAAGTCACAAGCATTCAGATAAACACATGGAAACCTACATGAAAGGGTATTTAACAGAAGAAAACATGAATGGACAATCACACAAAAAATGCTTAACCTCATTGGCAATCCAAGTATTGCAAATTAAAAGTCATGATGAGATGTGCCTGCACCGCTACCACTAGAATTTAAAAGGATTGACAATACCAAGTGCTGGAGAGAACGTGTAGCAGCGAGAACTGTCGTACATTGCTGGTGGGAGTGGAAATTGGCTTAGCCACTTTGGAAAACTGTTAAGAAATTATCTGCTAATGCTAAACATGCCTACCTTGTGACCCAGCAATTCCTCTCCTAGTATATACAAAATGAGTGCATAAGTATAGAAAGGGACATGAATAAGAATGTTAGGCTGGGCACGGTGGCTCACGTCTGTAATCTCAGCACTTTGGGAGGCTGAGGCAGGTGGATCACCTGAGGTCAGGAGTTCGGGACCAGCCTGGCCAACATGTTAAAACCCCATCTTTACTAAATATAAAAAATTAGCGGGTGTGGTGTCACACACATGTAGTCCTAGCTACTTGGGAGGCTGTGTCAGGAGAACTGCTTGAAGCCAGGAGGTGGAGGTTGCAGTGAGCTGAAATGGTGCCACTACACTCCAGCCTGGGTGACAGAGCGAGACTGTCTTCAAAAGAAAGAAAGAAAGAATGTTAGCAGTTTAATTTGTGTTATCTCCAAACTGGAAATGGCAGAAGTGTCTATCAATTATGGCTTATTCATGCCATAAAATATTATATGACAATAAAAAATTCCTGATAAATACCTCAATAGGGTTGAATCTCACAGCCAGACACAAAAGAGCACACTCTTTATGGTTTGATTTATGTGAAGTTCAAGAAAAGATAAAACTAAGCACTGTTAATAGCAATCATTTCTAAGAGCGATGTGCCTGAGAATGGACACAAGGACCCTGGGGGGACGTAAAGGTTCTGTATCGATCTGGGTAGTGGTTACACTCAAATCCTGAGCTGTGCACCTAAGTTTGTAGCCGTTCTTGTACATGGCGTATGTTAATTACACAGCTGAATACATTTGAGACAGGCTTAAGTAGCAATACACACACACACACACACACACACCTGAAGAGAAAAATATTTAAAAGACATGAATGGGCTTTTTTGGTTTGTTTTAGAGATGGTTTCACTCTTGTCACCTAGGCTGGAGTGCAGTGGTGTGATCGTAGCTCACTGCAGCCTCAAACGCCTGGGCTCAGGTAATCCTCTTGCCTTAGCCTCCCAAGTGGCTGGGACTATAGGGATGTACCACTACACTCGACTAATTTTTTTAAGAGATGGGGTCTTGGCTGTGGGCAGTGGCTCATGCCTGTAATCCCAGTACTTTGGGAGGTCAAGGTGAGCGGATCACAAGGTCAGGAGATCAAGACCATCCTGGTTAACACAGTGAAACCCTCTATCTACTAAAAATACAAAAAATTAGCCAGATGTGGTGGCACGTGCCTATAGTCCCATCTACTCGGGAGGCTGAAGCAGGAGAATTGCTTGAACCTGGGAGGTGGAGGTTGCAGTGAGCCAAGATCATGCCACTGCACTCTAGCCTGAGTGGCAGAGTGAGACTCTGTCTCAAAAATAAAAATAAAAGAGATGGGGTCTTAAATACCTGGGCCCACCTGAGTGATCCTGAGTGATCCTCCACTTCAGCCTCCCGAAGGGCTGGGATTATAGGCATGAGCTACTGCAGCTGGCCCATGAATGGGCATTTTACAGAAGAAAACATGATCAGCCAGTTAAATATATGACAAAGGCACCACTTCATTAGTAATCAGGGAAATGCGGATTCTAATAGCATACTGTTACTGCTCCCAGACTGGCAACAATCTGACAGATCTGGCAGTTTCTAATATTGAGAGAATGGGGAGCAAGGGAAACTCAAAGACTGCGGTAGGGTGGACCACGCCTCACCACTCTGGGAAACAATTGGCGTCATCTGGTGAAGTGCAGCTACGTGCCCTGTGAACAGGCCAGTCTCAAGAGGACACAGGTGCGCTACTGTGTACATCAGCGGCACCAGCAAGCTCCTTAAACCCCAGACTTCTGCCTTCCATATGCAGCGAGGGTGAGACACCGCCTTGAGAAACGGTTCCCAAGGATGAAGCTGCAAGCAAGCGGGGCATGTAGCCGAGGGACTCTAGGGGGATCCCTGCTGGAGTGCCTGCATTGAATCACTCCTACTCCTTGTGCTTCCCGGGGTGTTCCAGGGGCTCTTGGAGGGCCGTATCTCATCGATGTCCTCGGTGAGAATTCTAAGCAGGGGACCCAGGGTGGTAGATGTTACAGTTTCTCAGGAAAGAATGCCAGGGATGTCCCTAATATTGTTGAAATCCTCCCTCTTACCCCCAGCTTCCTTTCACGTTTTAGGAGAAAAGACAGAAGGGAGGAAAAAGTAACAAAACCTGAAAACGGAAGGGCAGCCACTCCTCTCGTTAGCTGTGGAGGGCTGGGCTGTGGTCCTGGAGGGAACACGGCCCTTCAGCACTGGGGAGAGGGGCCCGGAGTTCTGGGCTTTCCTCTTCCTTTAAAAGCGGTATTGGAGGAGTTTGTTCTGTGGGGAAACCAAGCATGCTGGTTTGCCTGGGCCTGGGTTTGAGGGAGTTCCCAGACACAGGTCTTCCAGTTTTCAAAGCAGGCCGGTTCTGGGAGAGCCGGGGTGAGTTGTCACCCTGCCAGTGTGAGTGGATCCTGGAACCACAGGCCAGCTGCTTTCCGGGTGGAGACACCCTGATGAGCCTGGGGCAGTGCTCTGGGCTCACTGCAACCTCCACCTCCAAGTTCAAGTGATTCTCCTGTCTCAGCTGCCTGAGTAGCTGGGATTACAGGCATGCGCCACCACACCTGGCTGATTTTTGTAGTTTTAGTAGTGATGAGGTTTCACCATGTTGGCCAGGCTGATCTCGAACTCCTGACCTTCCTCCAGCATCCATTATGGTCCTCTACATACATGGATGCTGGAGGAAGAAGAAGGGAGGAAGAAAGGAAAAGGCACCAGATCCACAAGCCCCTGCCTTCTGCAGGCTCCCTCCAGCACCCTTTGACATAGCTTAATATCATGCCACGGCCAAGGAGAAGGGTGGAGTCCAGCCAATGACAGCAGGCAGAGACTGCAGGGTGAATTTGGAGCTAAGTTAATCCATCAGTAAGTGGCTCATGTGTTATTTTTGCAGCTGAGCAATACACCATTGGATAGCTCTTCCACATTTTGTTTATATATTCACCTACTGATGGATATTTGAGTTGTTTTTAGGTTTTGGGTATTATGACTAAAACTGCTATGAATGTTCACACTATTTTTGAGTATTCTTTTTGGACCCAGAAACCTTGCTAATGTTACTGAATTCTAATAACTTAGCAGTTGATCCTTTTATGCTTTTTTCATACCCAAGCATATTTTTTGTTTGTTTGTGACAGGGTCTCGCTCTGTTGCCCAGTCTGGAGTGCAGTGGTGTGACTATAGCTGGCTGCAGCCTGAATTCCTAGACTCAAGGGACCCTCCGTGTCAGCCTGTCAAGTAGCTGGGACTGCAAGTATGGACCTGTATGCCTGGCTAATTTTTTTATTTTTTGTGGAAATAGGATCTCTCTATGTTGCCCAGGCTACGTACCTAATCGTATTGACTGAGAATATAATATCATTTTTTCAATCTTTTTTTTTTCTTTTTCCTAAGAGACAAGGTCTCACTCTGTCACCCAGGCTGAAGTGGGGTGGCATGATCACAGTTCACTGCAGCCTCAAACTCCCGGGCTCAAGTGATCCTCCTGCCTCAGCCTCCCAAAGCACTGGGATTAAAGGTGTGAGCCACCATGCCAGGCCCTTTTCCCCCAATCTTTATACCTTTCTCTTTCTTGCCTTATTGGAATAAGCAAGACCTATAGTGCAATGTTGAGTAGAATAGATGTGTCTAGCTCCACTGGGTCTTCTGGGTAACGTGGCCCAAGTGACAGGCCATCTTGCATCCCAGCCTGGACCTGGAGTCCTCTCTTGCTATAGACCCCCCTCAAAGCTGGCAGCCTTTTTAGTTCCTCAGTGACTGTGCCAGAGCTGGGTCCCTGGTAGAGGCTGCCAGAAGCTCTTTGCCCCTTTCTCAGTGGTAGGAAGTAAAAGGCGCTGGAAGTTGTTTCCTGCCATAAGGGCAATGCCATGGCATGCCTCAGACCATTGGATCCATAAAAACTTCGTTGTTACAGGACCCAGAATCATCGTGGTATTTTTCATTCACTTTCTGGCACACATATGCCCCCATTCAAGCAGTTGCCACTTTCCTGTTTCCCAGGTCCAGTTAGGATGCTGTCATTGACATAAAAGAGCAGCGTGATATTTTGTGGAGCGGGAAGACAGATGTCTTTGGACTATATTGTGGTGAAGAGCAGATGAGTTCAGGTGGGGAAGAAACGGAGATCCAAGGGAACATACCAATTTATAAATATATAGTCAACAAATTACTGATCAGCACAAAAATACTCTGAATGCATGCAGGTAGGTAGCCTGCAAGTGGCTGCTGAGTTGTAGTGGATTTTTAGCTCTATTCAAGTGGAATTAGAGCTACGGTTGTTACACATCCTAGTTTCAGTAAATAGCAGATAGTGAATTTGTGTCAGTAGTTGCATTGTGCTTGCTCTGACATCCTGCCTTTCATAATTCTTTTATTTATTTATTTATGAGACAGAGTCTCACTCCATCACTCAGGCTGGAGTACAGTGGCATGATCTTGGCTCACTGCAACCTTCACTTCCCAGGTTCAGGCGATTCTCCTGCCTCAGCCACCCGAGTAGCTGGGATTACAGGCGTGTACCACCACACCTGGCTGATTTTTCTATTTTTATTAGAGACAAGGTTTCACCATGTTGGCCAGGCTGGTCTTGAACTCCTGACCTCAAGTGATTAGCCTGCCTCAGCCTCCCAAAGTGCTGAGATTACAGGCGTGATCCACTGCACCTGGCCTGCCTGTCATAATTCTTTGTCAGGCTCGCTCTGACATTTTGGCCTTCATGCTGTATTAGCAGGGCCTCCTACAGTTGCCCCTGCAGTGTGTCCAGCACATCCCCCAGCAGGGTCAGTCTGGCCTCGGTTTCTTCGTACAAGTTAACAGAACTCTGGGGCAAGATAGCAAATGTGAACCTCAGTCTTTCCTAGGAGATTGCAAACTGTTTGATTCTCCTCTCTGATGGGAATTGAAATTAATGCCTTTGCCTCATCAATGCGCCACACATCAGTTGCCAGGGCTGTGGGTATAATCCGGACCTTATGCCTGGCACAGTAGCCGCAGGCGGGGCCCTGGCTTGACTGCATTTATAGCGCTCTCTCCTCTGTCAGATCCATTGGGTTGGGCAGGGACCAGCCTGGCATATTAAGCCGGGATGCCAGGGATTACAGTGCTGGGATTACAGGTGTGAGCCACCATGCCTGGCCTCTAGTGTTCTATTTTTGAAGTGTTCTAGTTTTAATTATAACCTAATTTCACTATTCTTTAAGTGGTTACTCTAAAGAAAACTTTACTTATCAAAGTATAATATAGATTCATAGTGTTACCTATTCCTAGACAATGCAAGGATTTAGACTCTACCATGTCCCGGCTTATTTGTTATTGTCATGTGTTTTATTTCAAAACCCCGCAGAACATTGTCAACCCAATAAATGACAAACAGAGAGAGGCGCTCTCTAAAAGAAGAAGATCTTTGTTTGGGGATAGAGCACTGCAGTGGGAATATGCGTGGCCTAGTAAGCTGTGTGCATATTCAAGGCAGTAAAGACAGACGAAGGTTTTTAAAGGGAAAAATGAATATTACCTAACTGTTTTTGAAATTGTCCCTGGCAGCAGCAGTCTGAGGTTGGACAGGCAGTTGCTGGGGTAGATATCCTTGCAGAAGTATTCTTTGTGTAAGGCGTGATAGCCTTAGTGCAAGGTTGTGGCTTTTGTAGTCTTTTGTGATTGCTTTTGTTATCAGGCATATAAGCATGAGAACTCTCTCTTCCTACCCTTCCCCAGCTCTATTTGCCAGTTTTTTTTTTTTTAAACACTAGTGGCTTTGTTTTGATTCTGAAAATGCTTACATTTCCCCTTTCAATCAAGATCTTTCTGAAAGCATCACTGATCAATCATGCTATAGTTGGGTTTTGATGCCCCTTGCTGCTGGAATAGACCTGTCACAGTTGCTGGTCTTGTCTCACATTGGGGGAAATGATTGATGATGAGGAGTCAGCATCAAAAACCTTTTAGTCATGTTTGAGGAACAAGGGAGGTTTGAAGAGACTGGCTCTCGGGCTAAGTGTGCTTGGAGTCCATAATTAAGTTCAGTTTTGTCTGCTCCATCATCTTTTTGTTTGTTGTTTGGGAGAGGGTCTCACTTTGTCACTCAGGCTGGGGTACAGTGGCAGGGCCATGGCTCACTGCAGCCTTGACCTCCCAGGCTCAAGCACACCTCCTGTCCTTAGCACACACACACATACACACACACATGTACACACACACACTCGCCAAGTAGCTGGAGCTACAGGCATGTGCCACCATGCCTGACTAATTTTGTTTGTTTGTGTTTTTTGTAAGAGACAGGGTTTTGTTATGTTGCCCAGGCTGGTCTTGAACTCCTGAGCTCAAGCAATCTGCCCACCTCAACCTTCCAAAGTGCTAGGATTACAGATGTAAGCCACCACGCCTGGACTGTTCCAGAATCTTTCATTATCATCTCAAAGTACTGGACCAGCATTATTTTGTTAGGAGTTGTACTTCTGTAAAAAATTTAACAAGTAGCAGACACAAAGTTTAAAAAGGGAAAATACAAAGTAAAATTAACAGTAATGTGACGGTTTCAAAGTGCTAGGATTACAGGTGTAAGCCACCATGCCTGGTTACAGACACAAGTAACAGACACAAAATTTAAAAAGGGAAAATACAGAGTAAAATGAATAGTAATATTACAGTTTCAGTTTGCATTATGGTTTTGTACCATGAACTTAGGCTTGAAAACAGTAGTTGAATAAATCAAATGACCGCAGGGAATTAGGTGAGACCAACTAAGTGGCCTGTGTTTAAATTCTGTGTAGATGGATCTCATATTTTCCAGATGAATTTATCCAGGTATAGCAAATAGGACTGGAAATAGCACAGACATTTTCTTATTAAACAAAGGGTACTAAAGAATGTTTCGGTTAGTTTTTCTCAAGTGACCAGCAGAAACTACTGCTTGTGATATTTCGATTATGCCACCATCGTGCCAAGTGAAAAAGGTAGCATTAAGGGGGAAACGTCTTTTTATGACAGGAAGTCTTGTTCTGCTGTCTTGGCGAAAGCCGTCTACAGTGTGAAAATGTCAGCTTCACCTCCTGATTTGTAGTTTGAACGTCTCTGGTCGTGACATTGGGTGGTTTGGTGAACTTTTTGTGTGGTCCATACATCAAGCGCAAACTTGTTCCTTAAAATTTTTCTAGTGTGGGCCAGGCACAGTGGCTCATGCCTGTAATTCCAGCACTTTGGAAGGCAAAGGCGGGTAGATCATGAAGTCAGCAGTTCAAGACCAGCCTGGCCAACATAGTGAAACCCCATCATCTCTACTAAAAATACAAAAATTAGCCAGGCATGGTGGTGGGCACCTGTAGTCCTAGCTATTCGGGAGACTGAGGCAGGAGAATCACTTGAACCCAGTGAGCAGAGATCGTGCCACTTGAACCCAGTAAGCAGAGATCGTGCCATTGCACTCCAGCCTGGGTAACAAGAGTGAAACTCCATCTAAAAAAAAAAAAGTTCTAGTTTTAACTAACAGTGAAGATTTGCAGCCAAATATTGGAGAAAATTAGGAAAATCAGGATTTGGTCCAGTTTCCAAGTAACAGGAACTTAAAAACAATGTGCAGGGCTCCAATCGCAGGACAGGTGTATTCTCATTATTCTTTAGGAACTTAACTGTTTCTCTTATATGGACCATATAAGAATCTCATATTTTTAACCTCTTGAGGCTAGGCAGCCAAACCAACACAGATTTCATGATTTTATTTTTATTTTTATTTTTGAGGTGGAGTCTCACTCTGTTGTCCAGGCTGGAGTGCAATGGCGTCATCTTGGCTCACTGTAACCCCCCTGCTTCCTGGGTTCCAGTGATTCTCCAGCCTCAGCTTCCTGAGTAGCTGGGACTACAGGCTCGCACCATAATGCTTGGCTAATTTTTTTTTTGGTATTTTTAGTAGAGATGTGGTTTTGCCATGTTGGCCAGCCTGGTCTTGAACTCCTAACCTCAAGTGATCCATCTGCCTCAGCCTCCCAGTGCTGGGATTACAGGCGTGAGTCACCACACCTGGTCCCAAGGCAGACGTTAAATTTCACTTACAGTCTTAAGGTTGTTCTTGGGCTTGTGAGGAAGTGACAGTTTTAACTCACTCACTGCAAGGCTGAAAACGCTTAAGGTCAGGCTTTTTATGCACATTTTAAAATAGACATTTCAGTCAAAGCCTGATGGTGGAACCAATGTTAACTATTGTATCCCGCTTATAAAGAGAGATCAGATTTTTACTGAACTTATGTATACAATCATATTGTC